AGTGAAACAATGGAAAACACACAGGGAAGCAACAGGAAAGGGAAGGAAACCGGAACTCAAATCAATACATGGGAACAAAAAGAAGACACAGACATCCAACCAGAACAGTATGAAAAAGCAAGAACTCAAAAACATGTGGAGAGGCTTAGGAAACTCTGGGGCAATTTGAAATGCTCCAACATCTGAATCATAGGGTTTCCAGAAGTAGAGGAAGAACAAGAAATTGAAAACTTATTAGAAAAAATAATGAAGGAGAACTTCCCCAATCTTGAAAAGGAGATAGACTTACAGGAAGCCTAGGAATCCCAGAGAGTCCCAAAGAAATGGGACCCAAGGAGCAACACACCAAGACACATCAGAATTAAGTTACCCAAGATTAAGACCAGAGGATCTTAAAAGTAGCAAGAGGAAAGGAGAGAGTTACCTACGAAGGAGTTCCCATAGGGCTATCCACTGATTTCTCAAAAGACACTTTGCAGGCAAGAAGGGGCCGGAAAGAAATACTCACAGTCAAGAAAGGCAAGGACCTGCATCCAAGATTACTCTATCCAACAAAGCTATCCTTTAGAATGGAAGGGCAGATAAAGCGCTTCCCAGATAAGGTCAAATTAAAGGAGTGCATCATCTACAAGCCCTTTCTATTTGAAATGTTGAAGGGACTTCTCTAAGACAAAGAAGTAGATCAAAAACTATGAGCATTGAAATGACAACAACCTCACAACAATTAACAACTGAACCTAAAAAACATAAAATGAACTAAGCAAACAACTAGAAGAGGAACAGAATCACAGACATGGAGATCACATGGAGGGTTATCAGTGGGGAGGGGGAGGAGAATGGGGAAAGGTACAGGGAATAAGACACATAATACACAGGCACAAAATAGACGGGGGGTTAAGGATAGTGCAGGACACGGAGAAGCCAAAGAACTCAGAGCTACAACCATGGACAAGAACTCAGTCGGTGGGTGGTGGGGGGGCTCCTTGAGGGTGGGAGGGTGCAAGGAGGAAGGGGTTAAAAGGAGAAAAAAATGGGGACAACTGTAGTAGCATATTCAATAAAATATACTTTAAAAAAATTTACTTTAGAGGCTCTGGCTGGTGTGGCTCAGCGGATTGAGCACTGGCCTGAGAACCAAAGGGTGGCCAGGTCTATTCCCAGTCAGGGCACATGCCTGGGTTGCAGGCCAGGTCCCCAGTAGGAGACGCACAAAGACAACCACACATGGATGTTTCTTGCCCTCTCTTTCTCCCTCACTTCCCCCTCTCTAAAAATAAATAAATAAAATCTTCTAAAATATCATTAAAATTGACCTTATTTATTCAAATAAATAAGCACATTATTTATTCAAATACCTGAGGAAATATTGTTTTCATGCTATAATATACTCCTGATGTGCAGAAGAGAGATATTATGTGTTAGAGTCTGTTTTCATTGTGATAAAGAATGCTTAGTGTATTTTACATTTTATCCCCAAATTATTTTCCTGTTTCTTCTTCAGATTTACAGTACTGTGTACAAATATGATTCCTCTATGGATGTAAACACACTATCTCCACCTTTCTACATATTAGCCTACTTACCACATGGACAGTGAATGAACTAGGTCAATATCATTCATCCATATCTCCTCATGCACAGGAACATCTTCCATCTCCCTAACCAGAGGATGAGGCACAAAAGAGCGTGAATTCCTACCCAGTCCCGTGATTCAGGGTCACCGGCTTTATGCTAAACATGCAAATCCTTCCAACCTATCCTCCTTATCTGTTAGGAAACTTAAATACTGTTTCTCACTCATCCAGTTATCCAAAATGAACTTGAATAGATCTCCGGTCAAGTTGGCGGATATAAATCAGGAAGGCAGTGGCTGAGGAGTGAGGGGTCTTAGCCCCACCCCATGCCCCCAGCCCAGGGTTCCATGTCAGGGAAAGAAGTCCCCATAGCTTCTGGCACTAAAAAAAGTGGAGACTGCAGCTGAGGAAGATGAAAACTCCTGGAGCCCCAGGCAGTTCCTCTTGAGAACCCGTGCGGGGACTTACTCAGACTCACTCTCTAGGACCCAGCGCCAGGTCAGCAGCTTGAAAGGCACTAGAGACACACGGAGGAGCTGAATTGTTTGGCGTCAGGGTGAGAGCGGCAGGGGCAGCTTTCTCCCAGATACACGTGCTAGCACCGGCCACGGTTCCCCTGATGGGCCCTCGCCCCGCAGTGCTGGCCGGCAGGTGCCATATCTGAGATTCCTTCAAAGGGCCCACACTCTCTGCCTCAGAACCCGCCCCACCCAACATTCAGTCGCCCAAACTATTTCCAGTGGTTTTCCATACAACAAGCTTCCTTTGTCTCCTGCTTCAGATTTTCCTAAATTTTCTCAAACAGGCTGTAGCTGATATTAGCAAGCCCAGTACCACTGGCTAAGTGGCTCCAGGCCAGGAAGAAAAGTAGCCGCCCTGGGTCTCAGCTTGCCTCACCAAAGCACCTCTAAGCCCAGCACAAGCAGCAGCCGACCGCAGGGAGCTTATGCCGGATGACTCTGGGCAGCACACAGAGGGTGGCTGACCTTGGCCTGTCCCTTGTCGGAGGCCTCCGAGCCAGCACTCCCGGTGGACAGCTTCAGATCACAGCAGAGGACCACCACCCAACCACCTCTGCAAGGGACACACTCAGGGGGAAAACTCAGCAGACACCCGAGCCCTGCTGAAGCAAGGCCTACTCTGCGGGGTGGACTCCAGCACAGCTGGTCCTCCACACTGATTGGAGGCTGGTGGTCTTCGGGCACAGCCACCCCCTGCAACGGACCGGCCTTGTTAAATCCCTCCCTTACATGTGCTAACAGCAGCCAACGCTCAGCGACAAGTGGAGGCCATACACAGCCTACACGGTGCGCACGTGGTAAGTACCCGTCTTGGGTGATAGGGGAGGCTCCATGACCGGACCTCTCAGGACACCTACCGCCCTCGACCATTCTGCTAAGGCAGGAGATGTAGCAGCTCCATCCAATACATAGGAACAACCACAAGGAGGCTGCCAATGTGAGGACGCAAACAAGCAAACATGCCACAGAAGGCAGGACAGAAAAAGAACTCGAGAAAAAGAGCTAAACAAAAGGGAGACAAGCAATCTGCTAGAGGCACCGTTCAAAACACTCTCTCTAAGGACGCTCAGTGAACTTAGGGAGGACTTCAGCAGCATAAAACCAGATCCAGTCATAGATAACTAATACTGCAATTAAAATAATGATGATGTACAGAAAATGAACACTAGCGTGGCTGAGCTGAGAATCACGTCAGTGATTTGAAATATAAGAAAAAACTATAGACCCAATCAGAACAGCAAGAACAAAAAGGAATCTTAACATATGAGAACAGATAAAGGATCCTCTGGGAGAAAATCCAGCACAGCTGCATTCGCACCATGGAGGTGCCGAGAGGAGAACGGAGACCATGAAATGGAAAACTCAGTTGAAAAAATAATGTAGAAAATTCGCCTCTGTTGGTATATGAAATAGATGTAATGGATGTCCAGACATATTTCCATTGATTTGAGACAGTGAGAGAGAGAAAGAGAGGTGGCGGGAAGCAGGGAGAAAGGAGTGAGGGAGACTGCAGAGTGTGCTCTTAGGACCAGCACTTGCAGCAACAGCACCGCCCGGGAACAGCTTTGGATCAAAGAACCTCTTGGCCCAGTACAACCTGCATTTGAACTATAATCCTGGTTGACCTACATGCACATTGAAGTTGGAGAAGTGCTGGCCTGGACTAAGCTTTCTCACCTTCTCACGTCAACAAGATGGGTGGGATAATTATTTGTCTTGTTTTCTCGGTGCTTAGCAGCTTCCCTCCGCACATTGCCAAAAATCTCCAAGGGAAAAACCATCTCAGGTAGAGAACCACTGGCCCCCAGATTGGAAACAAGAAGCGACCTGATAGAGTTCAGCCAAGCCCATCCCTCACTAGGTTCATAACTTAGAGCAAATTGCTTACTGCTTCAGGCCCCATTTCTGCAAAGCAGAAGAGAGTTCATAATAGAAATGCTCACAGAACGGACTTCACAAAAATGAAAACAGACACAGTCTGTAGGGAATACACTCAGATTATATGGCATAAACCTATCAAAGGGTATCTCTCAGAGTTAACAATATATTAGAATGAGGCACTACATGACAGCTCTTAATTTGTGAAATAAATACAAAATCCTTAATTATTATGACAGTCAGGACACCAAAGAGGGTGAGGGCCAGGGTTCCTTTCCAAAGGAACGCAGCTGCCCCCTCATTGACGAGGGGACAGTAATTCTCTGGAGACATCAGGACTGTGCCCCACCACCAATCGATGCTTTCAGGATCCAAGTGACCTGATCCTGAGGGGTTCCATCGTCTCAGACGGGGGGGGGGGGGGGATTTTAACTCGGTGTTGGAGTAGGAACGTAGGAGGTGAGTGTACTTGAACAATAATTAAAAAAAATATTTTTTAAGAAAGAAAGGAAAGAAAGGAAGGAAGGAAGGAAGGAAGGAAGGAAGGAAGGAAGGAAGGAAGGAAGGAAGGAAGGAAGGAAGGAAGGAAGGAAGGAAAGAAAGAAAGAAAGAAAGAAAGAAAGAAAGAAAGAAAGAAAGAAAGAAAGAAAGAAAGAAAGAAAGAAAGAAAGAAAGAAAGAAAGAAAGAAAGAAAGAAAGAAAGAAAGAAAGAAAAGAAAGTGGAAGGTGAGATGTGGGAAGCAGGTGAGATCCAAGACAGAGAGTCATAAAAGCTAAACTCGCCTGGCTTCTCACATGGTCTTTTGGGATCTGAGAATCATTAGGAAACATTTTCTCTGTTTATTCCAGAGGCCCAGAGGGGAATCCTGTCCTTAGATGCTGGAATAACACAAGGGAAATGTGCCTGAGGAGAACATACCCGGAGCGCAGTAAACACCTCCCCGTGCAGTCCCTCAGCCTGTACAATGTAGCTGCACAACGCGGTTGCTGCTGTTGATTCCCAAGTCTGGCTCAGCAACGGGTGCTTCACTCCTTCCGGCTGTCCTGCGTGGGACAGAGCTTCCGACTGCAAATCAACCCTCCAGGGAGAAATTCTAACTTCCCAACAGAGAGAGACCTCCGTTTCAGAAAGCCCGTCCAGGAGACTCGGAGAGCCTGGTAGGTGCATGCGGAAAGGGTCAGAGAGGCTGGGACCTGAGGACTTTTACCTGAGTCACTGCGAGCCTAGTGAGCCCAGCCTGACACCGGATATCTCTGCTGGTATTCTCGGTGAAAGACTTATTTTATACTTAATTTACAAAATACGTTAGTGAAGATGTGTCTGTTTGATTCTGCCCTCCAGGCCCACAGCTGACAAGGAAGTGAGGGGACAGGGGGTCCGGTGGGGTGACGCTGCCCAATGAGTGAGATGCGTGAAATGGTTGCGGGAAAATGAAAACAACTGTGAGGAGTTTTGCTGTTCGGGGAGAAGGAAACAGACATTGGGTCCATGAAATATACAATGGCCTAGTCACTTGTTCCTTTAGACCTGCTTCATATTTCATTCATAGACTCTTTCACCACCTGTAATGTTATATTTATTTCTATTTTTTGCTTCTATATTCTTTTCCCAATAACCATGTGTAGAGGCTTGTGTTCTTCTCGCCCCTCACGGCCCAGACAGTACCGAAAACATGGTCAGCTCACTTCATACTCCTGAAAAATATAAATGATACATTTCTCATTAAAACTGTGGTATTTCTGACACCATAGGAAAATTGCACGTCGGGACTAAAATTCTCACCCTGATATTAGATAGAAAACACCTAGAGGAAAACAGTTTGTCCCAAAACACTGAAATTAATTTCTTTTTTTAATACAGATTTTGTTTATTTATTTTTAGAGAAAGGGGAAGGAAGGGAGAGAGAGTGGGAGAGAAACGTAAATGTGTGTTGCTTCTCACACTCCTCCTATGGGGGACCTCGCTGGCAACCAGGCTTGTGTCCTTAGTGGGAATTAAACTGGCTACCGTTTGGTTCACCAGCCAGCACTCAATCCCCTGACCACACCAACCAAAGGCTGAAATTAATTTTTGATTGCAGAACATAAACTGTAGCACTAGTGCTATGCAAGTAATGTGGGTGTGTATGAAAATGACTCCTGTTTTTTTCTCCTTCCTGAAACTCAGCTCCACCCCATGGCAGCAGGGAACCTTACGAGAGTGTCAGAATTCCTGCTCCTCGGACTCTCAGAGGAACCAGAACTGCAGCCCCTCCTGTTTGGGCTCTTCCTCTCCATGTACCTGGTCACTGTGCTGGGAAACCTGCTCATCATCCTGGCCGTCAGCTCAGACGCCTTCCTCCACACGCCCATGTACTTCTTCCTCTGCAACCTGTCCTTGGCTGACATCTGCTTCACCTCCACCACCGTCCCGAAGATGCTGGTGAACATCCAGACACAGAGCAAAGCCATCCCCTATGCAGGCTGCATCACCCAGATGTATTTTTTCATACTCTGTGCCATGTTGGACAACTTCCTCCTGACTGTGATGGCCTATGACCGGTTTGTGGCCATCTGTCACCCGCTGCACTACACGGTCATCATGAACCCCCGGCTCTGTGGGCTGCTGGTTCTGGGGTCCTGGACCATCAGTTCCCTGTACTCTCTGCTGCAATGTTTGATGGCGTTGCGACTGTCCTTCTGCTCAGACTTGGAAATTACCCACTTTTTCTGTGAACTCAATCAAATGACCCAACTTGCCTGTTCTGACACTTTTCTTAATAATTTCGTGATATACTTTGTAACTGTGCTATTAGGTGGTGGTTCCCTGGCTGGGATCCTTTACTCTTACTCTAAGATAGCGTCCTCCATACAAGCAATCCCATCAATTCAGGGGAAGTATAAGGCTTTTTCCACCTGTGCGTCTCACCTCTCGGTTGTCTCCTTATTTTATGGTACATGCCTAGGCGTGTATCTCAGCTCTGCCAGCACCCACAGCTCACACTCAAGTGCAGTGGCCTCAGTGATGTACACCGTGGTCACACCCATGCTGAACCCCTTCATCTACAGCCTCAGGAACAGAGACATAAAGGGGGCTCTGAAAAGAGTTTTGAGGCTGGTAAGTACACCAGGGACAATTGTTATGAGGCTCAAAATATGATCTTGTGTGCGTGGCTCAACACCTAAGAATCAAAAGCTGTGTGTTCGATCATGTGGGATAGGCGGACTCCTTGTCTTTATTTCCTGGCATGTCTATTTCCTTTTATATGTGTTCTCTATAAATTTGAGTAACTCACTTTATTAAGCTTCTGCTAAAACAGATGGACAGTTTTCCCTCTGACCATTTTTACATATTATGAAAGTCTTGTCAACCTCCGATCAGAAATGTTTGGAAATTTCCATGTTTCATGGGAAAGCTTGGTTTTCTCTAAAATAATTCCTTCTCAAATGGTATTTATCAGCCAAGAAATTTTCCCCTAGTTTATTTGAAACTATAATCAGAGTTGGATGACTCCAAAGGCCAAAACTACACTGGGCATCCCAGGACTTTTATTTAATTTCATTGTATAGGAAAATACGAAACCAGTTTGCACATTGGGTCTGTCACTCATGTTTACGTCACTACCTTAAGTCCTCTTCCTAATAATGTAGATTTTAAGCATTGTTCCGACTAAGTCTCAGCCTGCTGAAGACGCAGGTATTCCTAGAAGAGCCTGGGGCACTCACCTGGGCCCCGAGTTCTCATGACACCAACATGAGCCAACGTTGTGGCTGGGCCAGGCATCGCAGTTCTCATTATGATTGCAGACACTGCTCGGTAAAACGCGAAGAGAACCTGGTAAAAGCATCCTTGCTACTCAGATATCCTGGAGGGTACACAGAGTGTCCAAGGTCCACATATAAAGTCATGGAAAGAAGAGGGAGGGGATGGAGAGAGGGAAAAAGAGTGAACACTACTGTGGGCTATGTATTTATTCAGGTCCAAGGGCAGGATGCATAGAGTTTCAAAGCCTCATTCTTTAGTGGTGAATTTAAACCTTAAGAGCAGGTCCTTGGGTGTGAGAGGGGAAGAGAAGGTCGCTGTCCAGGTCAGTTCCCTAAGTTCTGCAGGGCTTTCTGGAAGTGGCCTTCACAGGTGAGCGGGCCAGGCTGCTTAGCTAGCAGCTGTGTCAGAGAGCTGGCCACAGGTTCTTCAACAAGGTTGTCTTTGCAGTGGAAGCCTTGGAAACCCAATGTTCAGTGTCAGGCTCTTAGACTGCAAACGTGCCACTCTGCGTCCTAGCTGCTCTCCTGCTTTTACTGTCTTATTCAGCTCCCTGTCCCAGTGCCCACCGTAGGCACTGACAGAAACTCACTATCCCATACATACCTACCGGTGAAGTCTGCATGGACAGCAAGTTTTAACTGATTAACCTAATATGGCCTGAGTGTCAGAGAAGATCTGAAATATGAAGAGGGAAAACTGTTAATCACTAATTTTATTACCGTACAGAGTATTGCTTTTGCTTGCTGTACTCACAAAAGTGTGGAAGATTGATGCCCATGTGAAAGGGGCTTTCTGCACTGGGGTGAGTGATGGGTTTGTGAGTTTTATGTTTTTAATGAATTATCATTCTTTTTCTGCTTAAAAATTTCAGTGCTGCCTACAAGTATGACTCCTCTATAACTCTAAACAAAAGATTTCTTCTTTTCTAAATTTTGTCATAACCACTAAAGAAGCAATGAATTTAAAGTTTGCACATGATCCATCATATCTGTGTCTCATGCTCAGGAATCTCTCCTCATGATAAAAATGACTCACAGAAGTGGTTGAATTCCTGCCTAGTCACGTGATGCAGGACCACCAGGTTTTCTGCACAAATGTGCCTGAGCTTCCAATCCCTTCGAGACCCCTAGAGAGGAACCTCAACACAGTCACCTGTGAGGACAGTTACCTGCAGGGAACTTGAAGAACAAATTAATCATGAAGGCTGTCAAAAATATCAGAACCTATGACTAATACAACAAACACAATTATAATTGCCTGTAGTGCTGTTTGCTCTGATTATTGTATTGGTTATCGCTACATAACAAGCATCCTAAATAGAATGGTTTACTATAACATGACTATTATTGAATAGGATTATATGATGGAAGGTGTTCTGATCTCTGCTCAGATCTCCTGAGTCTGCATCAGCCCTGAGTCCCTGTGTTGCATGTCTATGGCTCATCCATGATGTTGTGTGAGGTTGTAGTGTACCCCTGTCTTGAACCAACTGATGTCCATTCAGCTGTATATGTAGGCTAAACATCTGTTTTTAAAAAATGAGTTTATCAAATGTAATAGCCTTAATTTAATGCCACTATTTTTAGCTGTATATAACACTTTCCTTTCTATGCAGTTAGAAGACATACCTCCAACCCCTGATAAAATGTGACTCAACTACTGTGTTCTTGATGCTCCCTTGAGACATGAGACTTTTTAATATAATTAACTGGAGTACAATGACATACAATAAAGTCCACAGATTTATATACAGAATTTTCTGAACCAAACTAAAGGAGCCAAGCAAAAATTAAGAATATAAACAGCATGAATCCATTCACATATAGTTTAAGAAGGTGCTCGAAACACTAATTCAAAAGACTAGATGCGCCCCTGTGCTCATTGCAGCGTTGTTTACCAAATCCAGATTTGGAAGTAGCCGAAGTGCCCCTCAGCAGATGGGCAGATTAAAGAGCTAACGGTGTGGGGGCTGAATGTGGGCGTGGCGAGTCAGCTGGGTGGAGGACGGCAAACGGGGGAAATGGGGGTAAGTAACAGAATAAACAATAATAAAAAAATGCACTGTTAAAAAATTAAAAACAGAAAAAGATTTAAAACTATTGCACATTGACACAATGGAGTACCACTCAGCTATCAAAAGAAGAAAATCTTACTTTCTGCAACAGCAGGATGGACCTGTGCACATTAGGCTAAGTGAGAGAAGTCAGTCAGAGAGAGACAAGTACCATATTTTGTTCTCACAGTGGAATGTGATGAACAAAATAAGCTAACAAACAAAATAGAAACAGACCCATAGATACAAAGATCAGACTGACAGCCATGTACAGGGTAGGGGTTTTGGGGGCCTAGGTGAACACGGTAAAGGGTTTAAGCAAAAAAAAAGAAACACCTCACAGGCACTGATAACGCTATGGTGCTTAGCAGAGGGAAAGGCGGTGGGGGAGGGAGAAGAGGGTAAATGGGCGAGGGAAGGAGACTCGCCTGGGTGGTGAACACATAATACAGCCTACAGATCGCGTACTATAGAATCCCATACCTGATGCCTGTATAATACTATTAACCAATGTTATCCCGATCAAGTCAATAAAAATTTAAAATGAATATAGCCTGTCTATACAATATATACAAAACAATGGACACCAAGTTTTAACTGATTAACCGAATATGCTAAGAGCCTGACACTATACAAAAATAATACAATATTTTTTTAAAATATGTGTGTTTCACATAAATAAACAAAGTGCTCAGAAGCTTTGTTTGCTCTGTTATATAATTTTCTTAAATGTAGTCACCCTGAGCGTCCGGTTCCTTCCCTCTGAGTGTGATGTGGGACAACGAACCCAGTTCATGTGGATGTGGAAGAAATAATGAAATGCTTGGAGATACTTTGTTAAGTCCAAGAACTGCATTTATAATTAAGGGGTGTATCTAGGTATATGCATGTGTGCACTTGTGCATGACTTTCTTTCAACTATGCAGACTAACACGTGTACATGCGAACAGACTCATTATAAACCCATCTTTTATGTGGGAAGAAAATGTGTGACTAATTTTGACAGAATAGAAATTAAAAGACTGACTGCTTGAGTTAAAATGAACATAAAGGAATTCTGACACAAAAACACAATAGGGAGTTCACTGTTCCGGCTAATGCCCCCGAATCTCCAAGGTGACCATTTCTTTGCATTTTTACTTTTATTTTTCATTTGCAGTTTCATTCTTCTTTTAAATTTTTTTATCGTCGTTCAGGTACAGTTGCCCCACCGTTTTCTCCCTTGCTCACCCAAACCCCGCCCCCACCCACTCGCACAGTCAGTCCCCGGGATGGCCGTGCCCAGGCGTCCTCGATCCGGGCTCCTTTGCTTGCCCCTCCTCTTCCCTCCCCCATCATCCCCCTCCACCTCCCCGCCCTCATCACTGTCAGTTTGTGCTTCGTTGCCAAGTCACTGGTTCTATTCTTCTCATTTGCTTGTTGATTAGGTTCCACTTTGAGGTGCGATCATATACTATTTGTCTTTCACTGTCTGGCTTGTCTCACTTAGAATAATGCTCTCCAGTCCATGCTGTCGGGAAGAGAAGGAGCTTCTTCTTTCTTTCTGCTGCGTAGTATCCTAGTGTGTAAATGCACCACCGTTTTTTGATCCACTCATTTACTGATGGGCACTTAAGCTGTTTCCAGCACTTGGCTGTTGTAAATTGCACTGCTATGAATATTCGGGTGCCCAGGTTTCTTTGAATTGTGTTTCAGGATTCGTAGGGTATAATCCCAAGCAGTGGAATTGCAGGGGCAAAGGGCAGTTCCATTTTTAATTTTTGAGGCAACTCCAAAGTGTTTTCCAGAGTTCCTGCACCAGTCCTCATTCCCACCAAGAGTGCACTAGGGTTCCCTTTTCTCCCCAACCTCGCCAGCACTTGTTTCTGTTGAATTACTAATTATAGCCATTTTGGCAAATGTGAGGTGATAATCTCCTTGTCGTTTTCATTTGCATCTCTCTAATGGCTAGAGATGTTGAGCCTTTCCTCATGTGTGTATGGGCCCTCTTGGAGAAGTGTCTGTTCAGGTCCTTTGCCCATTTGTTAATGGGATTGCTTGTCTTCCTCGGCAGTTCTTTGTCTATTTTGGAGATCAAACCCTTCTCCAAGGTATCACTGGCAAATGTGTTTTCCCATACAGTCGGTTCCCTTCCCATTCTGCTGATGTTCTCTGTAGCCGTGCAAAAGCTTTTTAGTTTGATGCTGTCCCCTTTGTTTGTTCTTTCCTTTATATCCCTTGCCCTGAGGGGCGTATCAGAGAAAATATTGCTGCCTGGGATATCTGCAAATTTCCTGCCCTTATTGGTCCCTAGGATTTTTATGGGGTTGCACCTTATATGTAAGTCTTTTGTCCATTGAGT